TAGAGTTACAGACAGTGAGAGGGAGAGGCAGAGAGAAAGGTCTTCCTTCCGTTGGTTCACTCTCCAAATGGCGGCAACAGCTGGAACTGTGCCGATTCGAAGCCAGGAGCCAGGAGCTTCCTCTGGGTCTCCCATGCAGGTGCAGGGGCCCAAGGACTTGGGCCATCCTCCACTGCTCTCCCAGACCACAGCAGAGAGCTGGACTGGAAGAGGAGCAACCGGGACTAGAACCGGTACCCATATGGGATGCTGGCACCACAGGCGGAGGATTAACCTACTGCGCCATGGTGCCGACCCCAATATGTATATAAATTTAAAACCTCAAAAATAAGAACATTTATTTTAAAATGGAATTGTAAAGATATACAACTTATACAATAAAAGTCAGGGAAGCAAAACAGAGAAACAAAAAATAGGAAAAAATCCAACAGATAATTAAGTAGTAAATCCAGTTCAAAGTACATCAATTATGTAGACTACAAACAGACTAAACATAAAAATGTGAAAAGTATAAAGAAGTAAGAACACTATAAGTTGTATATCAGATGCATGCCTTTTTAAAGAGAATCATAGAAATGGAATGCATGGGTGAAAAATATATACTACAGTCACAGCACTAAGGGTTTTAGAAAGATTGTCACACTCGATCATTGCAGTAACCCTGTGAGATGGGGATTGCTTTTTCCTTTATTGCTCAATCTCACACAGCTGGTAGAGGGTAGAGCTGGACTCCACTCAGTGCTTGCTGAGCAGGAAGCTACTGCACTGAATACCTTGTCATCAGAGGGGAATTTAGACTTGATGGTGACAGATACCCTTGCTGCTGCAAATCACCATGGCCCCAACTCAACTTGGACACCACGGCCAGCATTCTCGGTCACCTTTCTAATGGATCTCGGGAATGTGTGCTTGCCAGGAGGATGATTGCTGAACTGTCAGCACTGGTTGGTGACTTTCTGCTACAGGAAATTAGCAAAGGCCTCCCTGAAACCTGTCTGATTTTACCAGAGGATGCCGCTCACTCACTGCTGATTGGTTTTCCCAGGTTCAAGCCAGCTCCAAGGACTCCCCAGCGTTCTGATTCCACCAGAGTCACAGGTCATGGAATCTTGGCCACCTGGCATCCTCAGGAGATTTCTCCTCCCTCCTTTCAGGGTCAACCAGCAGTGGTCTGGTTCCCCTCTGTCTTCCCGCATTATCTCTGCCTTGAGGAATTAACAACCTTGTTCACTGCACAGCTGCTGGAGGCTGGCATAACTAATTAAAATGTAAAATAAAACCACTTACCCACCTTTGCATCCAAAGCTATAAGAGTGAGTGACCTTTCTGAGGCATTTCAATTGATAAGCAAGGGAAAGAAAAGTTGTTTTTCAACAGTGCATTAGCAGTACATTTCCTAAGTGTATATATATATGGCATCAAACCATACAAGCTAGCATGAAAGCAGAACAATATTGTTGTGTACAGCACTTGGAAATTTACTCAGAGCAGCAAAATGGATTCATGTGGGGACTCTGAGAGCCAAGAGACCAGATTTAAAACACCGATAAATAAAAGTGACAATTTAGGATGATGACCAGTCCATCATTCCTTTTTATTAGGTGCCTCAGCAACTCTGGAATGGCTTGATAACTGACGGACAGAAACACATTCTTTATGTTTTGACTTTATGAGGCTTCCAGTGAGGAGTAAGCAAGCTAACGACTGTGTTAAAGATACTTGTCTGGCCAGATATCTTACTTTCAGCTTGGTGAAAAGACAGAAGAGGTTAAGTGACTTTCTCAAGGTCACACAGCAAACAATTCACACCTAAAAACAACACTGTGGAAGGCTCACTTTGAACACGGGTATTTTCTGCTTCAGCCAACTCCAAACTGATGCTCTGACTCATGGCCCTGGCAGGCTGTTGTATTTGCAAGTCCTTCCTGGTCTCAAAGACATGAGTAAACATGGATTTCAACAGTTCATGATGAACATAGAGATCCTTAATTTTCTGAGGATTGCCTCTGCTCTGAGCTTGGCTGGCATCCTCTTTATAGAAACCATCTTGTTGGCTGGCGCCACGGCTCACTAGGCTAATCCTCCGCCTTGCGGTGCTGGCACACCGGGTTCTAGTCCCAGTTGGGGCGCCGGATTCTGTCCCGGTTGCCCCTCTTCCAGGCCAGCTCTCTGCTGTGGCCCGGGAGTGCAGTGGAGGATGGCCCAAGTCCTTGGGCCCTGCACCCCATGGGAGACCAGGATAAGTACCTGGCTCCTGCCTTCGGATCAGCACGGTGTGCCGGTCGCAGTGCGCCAGCCGCGGTGGCCATTGGAGGGTGAACCAATGGCAAAGGAAGACCTCTCTCACTGTCCACTCTGCCTGTCAAAAAAAAAATTTTTTAAAAATAAAAGAAAAATAAACCATCTTGTTGAATTTTCATAACTATCAGGCACAGTTGGGATTCTCATTGAGCAGACTAAGGGCCTAAAAAAGTTAGCCCCTGACCACAGTCCCACAGTTGCTCAAGTGCAGACTAGAGATTTGGGAACACCTTCTTTAGGCCACATCACTGAAATGTCTCATCAGTGGCATGGGATCTTTTTCTGCATTTGTATGAAGGTTGCAGAACTGAAAACTGGGTCCTTAGCAAAACTTCTGTGAACTCTTGCTCCCATAGGGAGGTTCATATCTACCAATCTGACCAAAAAAACCAATACCCTCTCTACCAGCTTCCCTTACACCAGAAAAAAAAAAAAAACCAGTTTTATGCTGCCTGTAGACGCTAGGGGAGGGAGAGGTAGGGTACTCATCCCCCTTCCACATTCAAGCAGGAAAAGCAATGCCTTCTAACCAACCCTCTACCACCACTGCTTCCACCAACTTGCTATATTGTTTTTTAAACACTTTATTATGAAATTCACCCATTTCAGTTGTATTCTCCCCTGACGTTGGTAGCTTTACCAAGTGGTATAGCCTTGGTATAGCCACTGTGGTCCTGTAATTCAAGGCCTCTGAGTTGGTCTTGGCCAAGCTAGCCCCAGCATGAGCTGATGTTACAGCACTTCACATGGGCGTCTGACTTGGGGCATGCCCTGCCATCCAATGACTCTCAAAGTCCCTCCACCCATTTATTCATCTCAGAGCCCAAGGTCAGTGTCCAGTTCACTCATTCTCTTAACCCTCAGAACTCAAGAAAATGGGACCACTGGCTCTACTCCCGAATGAGGCTCTGGATTCAGCCTCTCTCTAGGAGGTGTGACTTTCAGTGGCTCAAAAGTGATTTCCTCTCCACAGGTGATTCCAAGATGCCAACCACCGTAATTCTAATTAGAGGCTTCCTTCGAGGTGTTCTGTCACTCCCTGTTGACTATTTATTGTACATTTGTCTTGATTAATAGGACAGGAAAAGCATGTCCAGTGACTACTCTGGCACAACCTACACAATTACCCCATCATGTAAGTATATTATTATACTTATTCTCAGACATTGATTTGCAGTAAGGTTAATTGGACAGGGTCATGCAGCTAATAATTATAGGCCCAGTATTTCAAACTCAAGTCTTCCTGATTCCAATGCCTGGGCACTTCCTACTACAGTCTGTTGGCTTCTCTCTGCCTTGTTTCTTTTCCAAGCAAGTGTTTCCACATTGCCTTTAAAACGCAATTTAATTGTAAATACATTCTTGCAAAGCTCATTCTCACTCCCTCGTTTTCTCTTTTTCTTCTTCATTCTCCTAAGAGAGAGAGTCATTAGGAAGGTACATTCTAAGTCTGCTTTGCCTTGTACAGAAGGCCATCTTCCAAAAATCTGATGGAGGTACACCGGAGAGCTGCAATGGTGTCCTCATCCCCTCCCTGTTGGTTCTGTAGAATCCTGTGGCTTTGAGCAACCCATCAGCCCAATGCTATAAAGTCCCACTCCTTGTCACAGCCAAGCTGCAGCCTACAGACCCTCTCCATCAGGGTACATGCAAATTAAAGGCAAGCTGTATTTTTCATCAAATAAACAGCTGGACTCTGTTGGAGTCTGGTGAGCAAGGCAGGGCATTGCTCCATTTAAGTCCTTATCAGAGCCCAGCAAACACGTCCTCCCAATGTGGCTGGTTTTAAATTTACTGTGGCAGGTAAAGTGATGATAATTGGACCAGCCTCTCAGGGTCTCGTCCCAATGCCCTTGCACAAAAGCTCACTTTTGGCAAATGTCAACATTGCTGCTGGGGGAGGGGAGGCACTTTCTAGAGGTCAAGTTTTTCCTAGTCTATGGTGATTGAGGGAGTACAGGCTTTGCTCCAGATTTTGGATCCAATCCCAGATTTCCTATTTACAAAGTGCATGGCCCTAGGCAAGTTAAAACAGCTTTCAGAGTCACAGATTCCCACTTATCTCTACAGTTTTGTTTCACCCACTGACTCATTTTTCTTTCCATTTTTTTTTGGCTCTTTTGTCTTTTCATATTCTTTTTAAAGTTTTTTTTTACTTTTATTTAGTAAATATAATTTCCAAAGTTATGGATTACAATGGCTTTTCCCCCCCATAACTTCCCACCCGCACCCCTCCCATCTCCCGCTCCCTCTCCCATTCCATTCACATCAAGATTCATTTTCAATTCTCTTTATATACAGAAGATCAATTTAGTATGTATTAAGTAGATTTCATCAGTTTGCACCCACACAGAACATAAAGTGTAAAATACTGTTTGAGTACTAGTTATAGCATTAATTCACATTAGACAACACATTAAGGACAGAGATCCCACATGAGGAGTAAGTATACAGTGACTCTTGTTGTTGACTTAACAACTTGACACTCTTGTTTATGGTGTCAGTAATCTCCCTAGGCTCTAGTCATGAGTTGCCAAGGCTATGGAAGCCTCTTGAGTTCACTGACTTCGATCTTATTTAGACAAGGTCATAGTCAAAGTGGAAGTTCTCTCCTCCCTTCAGAGAAAGGTACCTCCTTCTTTGATGGCCCATTCTTTCTACTGGGATCTCACTTGCAGAGATCTTTCATTTAGGTCCTCTGTTTTTTGTTTTGTTTTGTTTTGTTTTTTTGGCCAGAGTGTCTTGGCTTTCCATGCCTAAAATACTCTCATGGGCTCTTCAGCCAGATCCGAATGCCTTAAGGGCTGATTCTGAGGCCAGAGTTCTGTTTAGGAATCTGCCATTCTATGAGTCTGCTGTGTATCCCACTTCCCATGTTGGATCGTTCTCTCCCTTTTTTATTCTATCAGTTAGTATTTGCAGAAACTAGTCTTGTTTGTGTGATCCCTTTGACTCTTAGTCCTATCAGTGTGATCAATTGTGAACAGAAATTGATCACTTGGACTAGTGAGATGGCATTGGTACATGCAATCTTGATGGGATTGTATTGGAATCCCCTGGCATGTTTCTAACTCCACCATTTGGGGCAAGTCCGATTGAGCATGTCCCAAACTGAACATCTCCTCCCTCTCTTATTCCCACTCTAATATTTAACAGGGATCACTTTTTAGTTAAATTTCAACACTTAAGAATAATTGTGTGTTAATTACAGAGTTCAACCAATAGTATTAACTAGAACAAAAAAATAATAAAAGGAATAAAGTATTAAATTGTACATCAACAGTCAGGACAAGGGCTGATCAAGTCACTGTTTCTCATAGTGTCCCTTTCACTTCAACAGGTTTCCTTTTTAGTGGTTGGTTAGTTGTCACCGATCAGGGAGAACATATGATATTTGTCCCTTTGGGACTGGCTCATTTTGCTCAGCATGATGTGTTCCAGATTCCTCCATTTTGTTGCAAATGACTGGATTTCATTGTTTTTGACTGCTGTATAGTATTCTATAGAGTACATGTCCCATAATTTCTTTATCCAGTCTACTGTTGCTGGGCATTTGGGTTGATTCCAGGTCTTAGCTATTGTGAATTGAGCTGCAATATAACCCTACCATAAAACCCAGCCCTCCCACTCCTTGGAATTTACCCAAAGGAAATTAAATTGGCAAACAAAAAAGCTGTCTGCACCTTAATGTTTATTGCAGCTCATTTTTCTTTTCGTTATCCACATTATTCCAATGTTTCCCTCCAGGATCTTGGCATATTCTGCCCACCACACTCACAGAACATTATCGCTGAAAGAGGCCAGTTTTGCTTACCTCACTCATTTTATAGACAAGAAACATGAGGTACAGGGAGAGGAAGTGACTTTTCCAAGACCACACAGGAAATGAGTGACAGAAGAACATTCTTCGCAGAGGCTCACTATTAAGAAAAGCAACAGAGCAGAGGAAGGCAGGGAGTAGAGGAAGCGTAAACAGCCCCATCTTAGGAGAAACACTTTCTGTTTATGACCAACAGGAGTCTCAGCATCACTGGATTCCTCCCTGTATCTGCCCCAGAGGGTACTGCTTTGCCCATTTTACACAGGTGGAAAGTAAAACACAGAAATTGAGTGGCACTTCTGAGGTACACAGCTGTTAACTGAGCTGTGATTTAATCCCAGCTCTCTGCCTTCAAAGCCGTGCTACACCACCTCAAAAGATGCGAATCTCAGCTGGCGCCGTGGCTCACTAGGCTAATCCTCCGCCTTGCGGTGCCAGCACACCGGGTTCTAGTCCTGGTTGGGCGCCGGATTCTGTCCTGGTTGCCCCTCTTCCAGGCCAGCTCTCTGCTGTGGCCAGGGAGTGCAGTGGAGGATGGCCCATGTACTTGGGCCCTGCACCCCATGGGAGACCAGGAGAAGCACCTGGCTCCTGTCATTGGATCAGTGCGATGCGCCGGCCGTGGCGGCCATTGGAGGGTGAACCAACAGCAAAGGACAACCTTTCTCTCTGTCTCTCTCTCTCTCACTGTCCACTCTGCCTGTATATAAAAAAAAAGATGCAAATCTGTTGTAGAAGCCATGCCATGCTTTGCTTTCAAACACACACAACACTTTCCTCTCTCAAGGATTAGCTCAAACTCACCACCTCCTGAAAACCTCTGATTCCCCTTCCTAATGGGCCCACCTATGTTCTCTACATCATGGTATTTTGTGGGTATGGAGATCCCCTAACACCATGGTGTAGTTTGAACTGGATCTCTTCACAATTTGTCCATCGCTTGTTATTGAGAATGGGGACTTCATATTAACCTCTAAACTTGCTTATTACAGGTACATAAAAGCTTTGCTTATAACAGTAAGATACACGCAGCTACAACCCGCATCCTGCAGCCAGTTGGGCACGTTATGAGTACTCAGCAGATACCTGCTGAATGTGTCAAAATTAGTGACGGTTATTTTCTCCAACAATGGCTATTCCAGTTACATGTCGATGCTTTCTTAATGAAAAGATCTGCAAGATTGATAAGGAGTCATATGAGTTCAATAGAAAAGATGTATCACAAGGAATGGTACCCATGTTGACAATGAGGATCAAAACAAGGCCAGGGACACAACAGAGGGAAGCACTTTCATTTTTTCCTATACGTGAAGAACAGCAGGTGCTGCCAAGAATGTTCCGTGGCACTGAGTTTCTCTAGGAGAGAATCTTTCATTGGGTAGAAGGCAGGGCTAATTCATTTTAGTATCCCACACAGCTCCCTGGACCAACTGTAGCTTTCAGTGTCCAACACAAAAACACCCATGGAATTCCGGTCTTTGGATTGGAGTGCTTCAGGAGAGAAAGTGCAGGATGGGTGCGGGGGCGGGTGAATGGGTCCTGTAATCCCAGCTCTTCCCATGGATTTGTGCAGCAGCTGCACTCAGCTGTCCTACCCTGAGCCTCAAGTCCTTCAGATTATTTGCTCTCTGCAAATTCTTTTAGGGAGGAATCCTTTGACCACAAGAATCCTTAGAGTCTCAGGAACGTTTATCTCAACAGACGAGTGCCAGGAACTAAATCAAGAAAGACTTGAGAAGTAAGAAAAGAAGCCCTTCGGTAATGAACCAAATACCATGCCCAGTTCTCACAACCATCTTGCAGGGTGCCATTAGTTCAGTTTTTCAGACACGCAAGCAGCATTCCCTGGAACGCACAACACACAGAGCAGAGAACAAACCCAGGTTGGTGTGACTCATCAGTAATGGCTTGTCATCATCCAGCAAGTGGATCATATCATATACTTACCCACTTCCTCTTCTGGTTATACATTTAGATTATATTTCTCTTTTCACCACTTTCAATGACACTACAATGAAGTTTTTAATACAAAAAAAAAAAAAACTTTGGCTGTATTTAGGATTGCAGCCTTGGAGGTAGAATTGTTGAATTAAGAAGCATGGCTATTTTTAAGGCTCTTGATATACGTTGCCAAATCGCTTTCCAAAAGGGCTACACAAAAACTCACATTGCCTCCAACTACACATGTGAGTATCAATTTTACCACACCCATCCCCACCCCAACCAGTTTGAGTGTTCTCATTTTCTGGAAATGTTACACATTTGCTAGCTGGAAATAGTGTTGCCATTTCCATTTGCATTTCTTTGATTACTAGTAAGGTTGAACACTTTCCCATATGTTTGAAAAGCCATTTTGTTTCCTCTTTATGATTTTTATTTTTCCATCTATTTTAGCTTTCAGGATCTTAGTGATTTTCATAATGATTTTATAAGCTCTTTATGTTAAAAATACCAAGCTCTGGTTTGTCATCTTTGCTTAGAATATTGTCCCATTTTGCTTCCCTTCAACAGTTTTTAAGCCAAATCCCCCTTTAAAAAAATACAATTAAACACATCAATCTTATTTTGTGATGTTAACTAACCAAAGTCCTCTGTTTCAACAACTTGACCAGTGTTCCATTTTATTTTGTTCTGATGTTTGTTTTTATGAAGAATGTTAAGTGCTGCACACTGGAATTTTATTTTTTCTTTGCTCAGTATTGAATCTGATGTGGGAATCAACCTGAGTTTTTGCCAAATTGCCAACCAACACTGGCCCAGCAGTTCCTGCTGCATAATCCCTCTCCTTGCCCGTGACTTATTATTGTATATTAAGGTCTTGCTCCTGGGAGAGGCCATTTCTCGTACTCCTCTCCTTGAGCTGTGTCAGGGCCCCTGCAAATGTCACTTCTTCCTCTTTGTTCCACTCACCACCACCAACTCAGTTCCTACCCTGAGCTGCGTCTCCAGAGTTTCCCTTGGACATCAAACCAGAATTTTCCTTCTTGCAAGATTTTTCTCCACTTGCAATTTCAAGACTGGACCTCCGTGAGCAATTTCAGTTGGGAAATAGAGCAACAGCCAGTGCCTGTGGGTTGGCTGCCTGTTTCTTTGAACCTGCTAGTATTATCACTATGAAACCTATCTCTGTCCAGCCTGGACAAGCCTCAAGGTGGGAACCATCTGTGCAGGGTTCCAGAGAAGCACTGCATGCTCTAAGAACTACAGAGACCTTATCTTAATCCAAGATTGGGGAAGCAGCTCATTTCTTCATATAAAGTAACTGAATCTCTACCTTCCCAAGGAAGGAAATCAATAAATAGTATCTTGGAAAGAGTAATTAAGAAGAGGTAACACAGAGCTAACTTTCTAGAAGGAAGAGCTAACCATTGAAAGTCCTTGCCTTTGGAGATGGACCCAATACAGCAGGGTTGAGGAGAGGCAGGAAGAGGACTCTGGCTTTTGCTTATAAAGCTGAGTGATAACCTTTATGTGTGCACAAGTGCTTTGATACAATAAGTAACATATCTTAAGAATTCTCCACCAGCATAACAATGCAAAAACAAACTAAAATACACACTTACTGTCTTCATCTGATGTCTGTTGAGCAGAACTGGGTCTTCCTTTTTCTAATCCCACATCTTAAGAACAGAAACTCTATTTGTCCAAGGCTGTAAATAGAAATGATTTAGAATTTAGAAGGTGGATCCCAACATGAATTGATGCCCAAAATTGATGCTCTCCAAATGTTGGCACATTATTCTTTTAAAACAAAACCCTCCAAAGATGCTTTATCTTCTCCCTCTTTCTCTACAAAAGGGGTCATTTCTGTCTCTGATACTCAATTCTCCACCCTAGGAGAGAAGGGGCAGTGTCTTATCAGAGTCATTATTCTCAGCATTGATCAAACAGTTCAATGCTTGTATAGACTTGATGAGCACTTGTTAAGGGAGTGAATGAGAGAAGAGGAGAGGAGTGAAAGGAAGACAAGATTGCTCTTCCGCAGACATTAGCGACTGAGTTCCCTCTTTCAGAAGATAAGGGTTTTGTCCTCTCACACGGGGGGCTAATTCTTTCCCCACTCTTTGATTTAGATGAGGGTTTTGTGTCAACTCTACTTCTATTATTACTCTAAACCAGGGCCCAGAACTAAAGAATTCAAAAAAGGATCTTCTGAAATATAATGCAAGGCTAGAAATAAGAGAGAGATATTCTGTGCAGTATAAAAAAGTATAGGAGAAACACCACATGAAGTTAGTCTTCACAGCACAAAATGTTTATTTGTTGATTTCTTTTGAGAGACACAGGGTAAAAAAGAGACAGATTCTACCCACTAGTTCATACGCCGAATGTTCCCAATGGGGCTGGGGCTGAACCAGACTAAAGCTATTGTAGCCAGGATCTGGGAACTCTACCTGGGTATCCCATTTAGGTGAGAGGAACCCAACCATTGGAGCCATCATCTGCTGCCTGCTTGAGTGCACATTAGCAGGAAGCTGGAGTCAAGTGCAGAGCCAGGACTCACCCCAGGCAATCCAAGATGGGATGCAGCCACGCCTACTTGGGTCTTGACTGCTGTGTCAAATACCTTCTCCCTGCACTACAAAAGGTCACTCCCCTGGTTTGCTCCATTCCCAAGATTTAAAACAAGCTCTCTCCTTCACCCTCCCCTACATCCTTGTGAAGGTAGATATCAGTGATGACAAATGACAGGCCCAAAGCAAGAGGGAGAGAGAATATAGAGATACTAAAGCCCAGAATTGTGTAAGTAGTTCTATCAGTACTTATAAAATTTTGAAGATCAATTTTTACTTTAAGAGGTGGAGGAAGGGCGGGCATTTGGCACAGCAGTTAAGATACCACTTGGGATACCCACATCCCATGTCTGAATGCCCAGATTTGAGCTCTGGCTTCTCTCCTGCTTCCTGCTAATGCACATTCTGGAAGGCAGGGATGGTGGTTCAGATACTTGAGCTCCTACTACCCATATGGGAGATCCAGATGGAGTTCCTGGATCCTAGCTCCTTGCCTCGGGCTGGTCCAACCCCAGCTGTTGAGGGCCTTTGGGAGTGAACTAGCAGACAAAAGACTCTCTGTCTCTGTATTCTCTCCCTCTCCCTCTCCCTCTCCCCTCCTTTCTCTTACCATCTCTCTCTTTGTGTCTCTCTGCCTTTCAGGGAAATAAAGCAAATTTTTTCAAGGGAAGTAAAGATAGTACTCTCACTCTCTTCTTTTGGCTTTTTGGCCTTTTCCAACAAGGGGCTTGCTGCCCTCTATGCCTCCAGGGCAGTGGCCTTGGGGCCACCTGCCTCATGCTTCCTGGCCTGCATGCTCCTCCACATGGCTGGCTCCTGGTACTTGGTATGAATTCAGACTTCTCTCTCCTTTTAGATAGGGCCCTCACTCTCCTATGCATCTTTCTCACTGAATAAAAGCTTAAAACGTAAAAAAAAGATAGTACTCTCCTCCTCACAAAGTAAACACAAGGTTTGTTTTTTTTTTTTTTCTATTTCACATACTTGGTTGCCTCACAAGTTTTTAAAGACTTTTTAGTTTGAATTATTTACTAAAAGTTTCTGAAACAGTTTAAACAGGTGTCATGTACCTGTGATTCAGCTTCTCCCAAAGACAAAATCTTACATAACTGCCATCCATGACCAAATCTAGCAAGCTGATGTTGGCGTAAGGTCAACCAGTATGATACAATCTCCAAAGCTCCTAACAGTGCAGTGAGAGCTAGAAGCCACCAGTGTGTTTGGGGGAAGGGGAACTAAGCAATAGGACTAGAAATTCATCAGAGGGCTCTGGATGGCAGGATCTGAATGCTGCACTTTGAAGGATGGCGCATGAAAGCCAATACACTCTGGCTGCACTGAGTAGGCACTCGGGCTGACTCACATCCATGTACAGCTAGTATTAACCCCTTTCTTTTCAGGCACTGAGCATATCGGGACAAGATTTCCTTCCTGGTTGATTGACAGCCTGTTGTTTTGCCAGATGGTTTGGGGGCATCCGAGGATGGAGGAGAGGTTGTTTTCTTCTCAGTCTGAGCCTCAAAGAGAACTCCTGGCTCTTATCTCCATTTTCCGACTCACTGTCTAGGGGCCCACCTGGGCTGGCTGATTTAATTAATGTCTATGTTATCTATCTGTTACTTTTGAAGCTGTTGTCATGTTGTTGATATTAAAGCCGCACAATGACACGCTGGAAGGCTGCCCCTGCTGGCAAACTCCCATCTGCTGACATCCTCAGCCACAGAACTTCTAAGAAGCAAGGCAAGAGATGCTTTGATTCCTGAGGCATCATTCAGGAATGGTCCTGAGAGAGTTGGCTACAGAGAAGTCTGAGTCTGGATAACTCCTACTTCACAGTTTTCTTTGTCACAGTCCTTTTGGACTCATGAAAGACGTGGTCAGAAGTCCATATATATTCCACAGGTCACAGGAAGTGTTATGAGCATGCATCTTTAGCACACAGCATCTGGTAGTCCTGTGGAACTCTGAATCCACCAGCCTCTTTCTATATGAAGTTATAAAATATTTAAAGCAGTAGATCTGGATGATAAGAAAGGGCATGGTGTATGCAATCACAGTTTAAGGATTTGCATGCCCAAAATTTTATCCAGTCAACTTTAGAGTAAATCATGAGGCACCAGGAGATTAGAGATAGTTGAGGAGAATCTTTGGATATTGAGTTGGGAAGAATCTCAATTTGAACTGAACTCTGACCCTTTATCATTTTTGTGGCCTTAGTCAAGTCACTTTAAGTCAGCATCAGCACAAAATGTGAGTGCTATAATCATCTCCCTCAACATTATCACCACTACCACCACCACCACCAACATCATCATCATTATCACCATAGCCATGACCACAACCATCATCATTATCACCATAGCCATGACCACAACCATCATCACATCACCATCACTATCACAACCATAACCATCATCACCATCACCATCACAACCATAACCATCATCATTATCACCATCACCACCATAACCACCACCATCATCACCATAGCCAAGACCACCATCATCACCATCACCATCACAACCATAACCATCATCATTATCATCATAGCCATGACCACCACCATCACACCACCATCATCATTATCACCATCACAACCATCATCACATCACCATCACCATCACAACCATAACCATCATCACCATAGCCATGACAACTACTGCCATCTCACCACCATCATCATTACCACCATTACAACCATCAACACATCACCATCACCATCACAACCATAACCATCATCATTATCACCATAACCATGACCACTACCATCCTCGCATTACCTTCACTATCACCATCACCATGCTCATCCTAATCTTCATCTAGAAGCCTACAGACACAGATTGAGTTGGATTCCTTTTCTTTAGGCTCCCCAAAATAATCTAAACTTCCCAATAATAGAATAAGTCACACTTTACAACCAGATTCCTCAAGGGCTTAGGCAATCCAGTCTTGTTTATCAGAGTATCTCCATTTCCTAGGAAGGCACTGGACACCTAGTACCTGCTCTGATATGTAGCTAAGTGAATGAATGACTATGTAGAAGAAGGAACTAACTCTCAATGAGTATTCTATGCCACTTTCTTTACAAACTCATTCATAACCTTCGAAGAGACTTTGAAATGTTCTATGCCCATTCCCTTTTCTTGACTGGAGTACTGAATACCCTGCAAACTGAAATAACTTGACCAAAGACACAAAGTTAATAAGTCGTCATGACAGTATTCAAACATGGGTTTGTCCAGTGATCTTTTCATACCAAGATGATTCCCTAAGGAACTAGAAAATTTATTTATTCAGAATATTCTTTACTCTGAATATTCTAAGCAATGAAACTTTTACTGTCTCCAAATGGAGTTGTAGGGGAGGGGCATTAAGTTGGAGAGTGGATGGCAGATGGCCCAACAGTGTCAAGAACATTAAATTACACAGCCTAAGGGCTGTGAAAATTTTCTAGTCAAATTCTAGCCACTTGAAATTAAGAAAATGCACATTTTTTTCCATTTGTAAAACTATCCGTTCATACAGGGCATGCTGAGAAGTCTGCTCAAGATGCTTTTATTTTCAGAAGGCTGCTTGCAAAATCTGAGTTCTTTGCAAAGAAAATGGCAAACATGCATTTAAGTATTTAAAACAAAGTATTTAAACCAGATTTTCCTCCAAAAAATACATAATGAGTAGGCTTCAGATTTCATCAGCTTCTGAGGAGCACAGAGGAGCATCTAAAACATTAAGGAAAGGGAGATGACCAACTCTCAAGGTCAGAATAAGGACATTCACATAAATTCTCAGTCCCAGGTGGATGCTCATCCAGAGGTGGCAACATCTGCCAACACAGCTGGGTTGTCTCTTAGATTCACAATATTTAAATTGACAGCAGTGACACCTGGAGGAGGTACCTGCCAGCATTCCCCTACTGTGGGGAACAGGAATGATGAAAATAAGATGGTGTCACTGTACAGATGAAATATCACACAAAATCAAGAGAGCTCAAGTCTGGGGCTCATGATGCCGGTGGTCACAAGGACAATGATGGCATGACTGCTGAGCATCCGTCATTCGCCAGACACCATGCTAGCAACGGCCTTGGGTGTTTACTGACTTAACATTTCATGAGTTTGTTATGAGCCCAATTTCAG